GATTTCCTCAAAATAAGCAGATCTTCTGTTTGTGCTGTCAAGTTTTAAGCAGTCAAAAATTGTTTGATTAGAAAATAAATGGAGAAAAAAAGAACTAATATTCCCACCTGGAGTGGGTGTGAAAGCAGAGTTAGAGGGAGTATAGATTGGACACATGGCAGTGTTTGGCTAAGGATCACTTACAGGTGGGCAATATGCAAAAAAATGTGCTATTACAATGATTCAAGAAGTTTTCATGATACACGATATGTCACAATATTTATTTTATCTTATAAGTTGTAACAGACAAAGTAGTGCCGCATTAAAAAAAATATCAAAAACTATAAATAGTTATTTTTATAAAACATTTACTGTGCTGCACTAAATTAAGCAGGACTTGTAATCAAACATGCAGTTGGTAAGTGTTTTTTTTAGGTACTGACTATATCCACAGTATGCTCAGAAAACCATGTTGTGATGTTATTTATCAAGATGATAAGTATTGGCATATTGCCCATCTCTAGGATCACTAGACTTACATATTTTAGTTGAGGTGGTATACCAGCCTTTTGTTGCAGATTTTGCACTGCACATTTTTCTTATCAGAATTCAAAGTGCTTCCACTAGGACTGGGCGATATCTAAAAATAATGAGTACATTATTTTTCCATAAAAAAAAAAAATTGAAAAAAATCACCCAACTGCTGGAGAAACTTCAGTCTGCAAGTGATTTCCAAAGCCATGCCCATGTGCTTTCCATGGTAAAAACAAGGCGTTTTCTGTCATTACAATGGCATTTTCATAATTCCGCTAAAGCTCCAGCACACTTAGTCTGTACAGAAAACACATTGCACATTTTACTCAGTAAATCACACATGGCAGAGACAGTGGGGAGTTTACTCTATCAGAACCTTTAAAGGCCCCATTATTACTCACTGAGTAATAAGTGGTAATAAGTTTTAAGTGAATAAAACATTATTTGTACATTTTATTTAATATTATTTATTACATTTTTCTGAGAACACCAGCTGTAGATGAGGATCAAGGGGACTTTCTCTCCAGGTTGCAGTTAACTTAGCTGCTCTATGCTAACATTCAGTCATTTTAGCTGAGGGGAATCGGTGCGGTAAAGCTAGCATTACAGTGCGTAGCTGAGAGAAATAATAAAGTTTCTTAACAAACCTGTTTCTCTCGCTGTCTGTGTGTGAAACTGACTACTGGTCCCCAGGCCTGTACACTCCTTAAACGTGAACTATGTTTCCTAACATATTTTGCAATCTGTTTAATAGTAAATTAGTTCTTGTTGATTTCTCAGTTCACTTTTACCAAAATGGCAGTTATCTCCTTTTACACATCACCAGTGGCTTACTTGTTCACCATCAACAATGTCCGATTATGTCACCATATTGCCCAGGCCTAGTTCCCACATGGGATTTCTGAGGCATCTTTATTCTATTAGCTTCAGTGGGCATGGGGAAAACAGCTCTGAGGCAGGGTTATGCAGATGCTTGGCAAGAATTAATGATGAATTTAACTAAATTATTTACCGTATATTAACAGTAACTGTTCTACCTAAAAATCTTTGCTAATGAAGTTTATTTTGTGCTGCATTGTTTGTAGCTTGAAAAAACACTAAGCGTCATACTAAATAATAAGTAGAGAAATGAATACCAGCGTAAACAGATTCTCGAGCCTTTGAATTATTTGAGCCAGCCATACAATTAGTTAATCGTTGATGGGTTAATCATTTGTCAACATAATTGTTAACTGCAGCTGTTTGTCTTATCATCATCAGAAATGATGCTTCATGACAAAAACCACATAAAACCTTGTGACATGATTTAATTATTTACAAATGAAATAGTGAACATTTCACCTGCCTCCCAAAAGAATCTGGAAAATTCAGTTCTGTGTGGGATTAGTCACATTGGCACCTTTGTGTCTGCAGGCAATATGTTTACCATAATCATCACAGGAGGAGAACCGAATCTGCTGTGTCACCATGGTGATTGAGTCTGGATGTTTTTCAGATAGTGTCTCAAGCCAATTCCATACCTAATAGCTTTTGTGTAGTTTACTTTTTATTGTGCAAAAAGAAGGCGATGCTGTACATAGATTCCAGCAGATCCTCAGACAGCTTGGTGGGCGGAGCCTTCTCGATTAAGCATAGGCATGGCTACTGTACAGCTGTGTCAGTGTGGAGGTCCAGCCATATCATTTAATGATTATGACCAGTCTACTCACACAGTCTGTGTATCATCTGAAGAAAAAAAAAACAAAAACTAAATTTTCATTTCCCTTCTGAGATGACTTACAGGAGATAATGTGGGATATTAAGTCAATATATGTATATGGTGAAAGGCAAAACCTTTAAGAAGAGAGTAAATCTACCATACACAAGCAGAGCGCATCATGACTGGCCTCGATTCAGTACGGGCCCTGTGGGTCAAAGAGTATATTGACAAAAGGATTAGAAAATATAATCTCTGTGCATTGGCGGGGTTGTTTAGTGCGACTAATCCCTCTTTGAATTAAACTGCATCTAGTGGTAAGAGATTGTATGACTATTCCTTTGTGTTTCTTTTTCAGAGGGTCAAATGATCAGGGTAGCCACTGGGTACTTAAAGAGAGGTTAGGTCTCGTTCAGTCTGACCCTGTGTAAGGACAGCCTGTTCTGCGCTAATATGGATTCAGTTCACAGGCCAAACAGACAGTCGGAGTAAGGGCTGGCCGTCACAGGTCGCAAGCATTGTAAGATGGCAGCTCTCGAGTCTGTGTGCTGCCAGTAGACCACAGCTGTCTGATGAGTTTGGCTTAGAACTGAGTCGGCCTGGCGTTAAGCATGCCAGCTCTTCCACCCGGACAGCCAGAACACGTTGTGGCTGAGAGAAAGAGGATGATAGATGACAGCTCCTCTCTGGTCACATTTCCTCTCAGTCTAGAAAGTTACATTTGCGATTGATCACTGTCGCAAAAGCGAGTCCCCAGTCTCACTGCCTGGAGACGCTTTGCACACAGAGCTCAGAAGAAGCAGACAAGCATTAAACCCTTGGGGGGAAGTTAAAGGAGAAAACCAAAGAGAGCTCTTTAGTACTTGCCAAAATAACACGATGCTATCATTATATCATTATTTGTGTTTTTTGTTTTGTTTTTGTTCTCTTTTGTTTTTATTTGTGATTCTGGCGACATTGTCTATCAGTCGACATCTCAAAAAATGCTGGTAAGTTATTTTCAATAACAGCTATTAGATTTACTGCACTACTTTTATTTCTTTTGAATTTTTTGGTTTTCATTTTGTTCATCGGTCCGCTGGCTCTGAATTCCTCGTGCACATTTTTGGACTTGGGCCTTTTGGTTAGTCACATTTCATTCACCCACTGAAGCTCCTGTGCCATCGTGCTGGGTTGTAAACCATGCAAATATGGTAAACCATGGGGCAGACCCTCTTTCCTTTGAGGAGGAGCAACGCACCTCATTGCCTGCTTTTATTAATTCATTTGTTTGTTTATTTATTGATCAATTAAACGGGAGGCGATAGCTACTCCTCCCACTCCCTGCCACCCCCGCACCCTCTAATACTGTAGTGTCCTCACCCTGTCACCCCAATCTCACCACTCTTTTCAGTTTCTTTTTTTCTTTGGCATTCTTTTGTATGACGTGCATGCCAACAAAAGCTTGCCTCTGCATTTTGTCTGCCTTTTCAGACAAAAAAATGGTACGAGTCGAAGTTCCCATTTTCTTTGCTATTGATTATGCGCTGATTTGTGTTTTCATTTGTGTTTGGCTGAAAAATCCATATGCCTAAGTCGGAAAAGCCAGACTCATAAGAAGTCATAAAGTGCGTGCATTGTGCTCTCATTGATACATGGATTTGTTCAGCCAGTTTGTGCCTGTATGTGAGCTCTTTCGGAGAATGCTGTTAGGGGAGTTTTGCCCACCCGTTTCTTTTCTGCAGCCTGTTCTTCATTCCATGTGACTGTCATTGCTGTGCTTTCTTTTTGCATTGTCTCGGAAGCCCAGTGCGCGAGCCGTCTCTGTCTGCGAGTTGGATCATTGCTGCTGTGTGCCATGATACTTTTTATTTTAAGTTAATTTTTTTGTTGTCGTCTTTTAGAGTGTTGGCTTGAAACACTACTGATTGGACTCCCATTTCAAATTTCATTGTCAGACTACAGGTGTAGAGCCTCATGCTTCTGTACAGATCAGTGTGAAGCAAATTAGTCAATGTGTGCTCTTTATGGACACGATTGTTAATTCACTCTCGACATTGAAATAGACAGGATAGGCTAAGGCTGTATAAATAAAGAAGCGAGCTTGAAATTCTCTTTATAGAGGGAAGTGACTGATTTTTGATCCTGTTGAGCTGGTGGCTTTGTAATTGCACCGATTATTTTCAGTGAGGTGTGCTAATTTGATTAATTTTTCATTAGGACAATGAACAGTTTATGAGGACCAGATTATTCAGTTCATTATGGGATGTCTTTGATCTAACCATTAGATAAGTTCAGCTATTAGTCTGCTGTAATGATTTAAAAGAGGCATATCATGCACTCATTCCCCAGTGTTGCATACCAGGTTATTGATGGAGTGTCCTGCTTTTGCTAAGCAGAAGTGACAAAGCTTTCCCATCATGATCAAACTCTGGCTAAGTCCGAGTTTGCTCAGGGACTCATTGCCAGAGGAGTTCATTTGCTACTGAGTGGCGAAACAGCGTGCCCTTCTCAGAGCGGTGTTGAAGCACTGGCCCACACTTTCTCAGGGAGGCTCAAACCCGTCTTTATTTCCTCTTATGTTTTGGCCACTGAATTCTCCCTTACAGCTCTGTACCAGTTCAGTAGAGACAGGTTACGCTAACACTTTTGAAACGGCTTCACACAGTAATGCTTCGTGTCACTGGCCCATAGGTGGTGCTGGGTTGTTTGAAATGTTCTTTCTTTCTTTCATTCTTTCATTATTCATTTAATGTTTTTCTTTTTTTAAGCTGATTTGTGAATATCCCTTCTCTTCTCATGTTCTTTGCAGTCAACTCCATTGCATCTGGCAGCAGGATACAACAGAGTCAGAATCGTCCAGCTCCTCCTCCAGCATGGTGCAGATGTGCATGCAAAAGACAAAGGGTGGGCTCTGCTTTCTCTTCTTTAAGTTCTCCACTTTATTTTTCACATAATTCATATGATATTTCTCATGTGAATCTGAAGTATGATTTGGAAAGACTGACTTGAGTGAGTTAATTAATGTCTTTGTTCTCTGCTTAGTGGCCTTGTTCCTCTCCACAATGCTTGCTCCTATGGTCACTACGAGGTTACAGAGCTGCTGCTGAAGGTAAGAAAAATTCAGTTATTTTGAGCAATGTTCATTAAATAGTAACATTATCCCCTTAGTTTCAGATAAATTGACCCCTAGTTCAACTTTGAATATTGTTAAAAAGGGACAAAAAAGCAAACAGAGAAAGTAACACCATTGTCTCTCTGTCACCTTAACTACTGTGTGGCTCAAACATGGTTAGTAAGATTATAACAATACTAATGAAACAAAAGCATTCCTTTACAAAATGCCTCTCTTATAGTCTCTGCACATCCACACAAGCGGAGAGAAAGAGAAAGAAACATACCAGCATAAAAGCAGAGAGGGATGGAGGGAATTAGTGCAATTATTGAGTATTGTGTTTATATTGAACCCGGTATTCCTCATCGTTTGTGTGATTTTTGGCCATTTCTCACACAGCTATCCTTAACTAACATTAGGTAGGAGCGTGACACCAACCTGGTTAACTTACAACTGTGTTCTCGCAGTTTACTTCTCATATTGCAATCTTGAGCAGAGTGACAAGCTTGATTATTGAAATTCAGTACTTTTATGGTGCTGACCAAATTACTTAAGTGATATAGGGTTTCAGATTATTCCATGTCATTCGGTACTGAATTTTGATACCCAAGTAGTCAGTCTAATCAGAGTGAGTTATCCAGTAAGCATACCTGTTTGAAAATCCTGACCATTGATTGGTTGTCTAAAATACAATCCACATGCATGTTATTAACCTAAGCACCTCTTAAATTAATCTGTAAGCCGATACAGTCAGTATAGACACCCAGTTTCAGCACCTCACACTTATCTCTGGTTTACTTTGAAAGAGGAAGTATGAAAAAGTGTTGTTTAACAGTCAGTATTGAAGTCAAGGTATCAGTGATGATATCTATATCTGTATTGAAAAAATTCTGAAGGATACCCGTCCTAGCACAGGGCAGTAACAGTGGTTGGATTGTGACATAGATTCATATTCTAGTGCTGATCTATGAGTTGAGAGGGGGCACTGCAAAGGCTGATGTCATTGGTTATTGCAAAGCAATGTATTTGAGTTTTTAATGGAAAGGAAAAAAAATGGGTGTAGTTACTCTTTAAGCCTGACGTTTAACTCAGAGCTAAGTTGCATGCACCGTGCAAATGCATACTCTCATTACTTTTAGTTTATGGGTCTTCTTATTTCTGTATAGCTATATGTTTGAGGAGTTTTTGTGTTTTGTGTACTTTTGTTCCACTTATTTAGAGCCATTACAGGCTCCCTTGTATTACATTTTTATTTCTCAGGAGATTGTTAGATGTCTGTAAGAGAAAATGCACTGTAGTAATCCACAGGAGATCCTGATCGAATGCTGCCAACTTCATCTGAATGAGAGCTGTCAGGCTTCTTTTTCACACACTGCAAGCACAGCCTGTTCCTTGTACAGTGACCTTCCCTCAATCTGAAGAGCTGAGCTTTGATCAACCTGGCTTACACTATAAACAGTAGCATTGTATTTGAGCCACTGCTCATTTTTATCCACGTGCAACATCCTCCCGTGTCTGAAGTGTGCTGTGTTATCAGAGCCTAGCAGAGTAGCCAGGCTGTCTCTAGATGAAAACACTAAAGCGTGATCTAAAAACTGGCCCGCAGTGAGTGCACTCCCCCTCAGGAACTCTTATCGGAACATCAGCAGCTCCTCATATCTGCTTAAGCCTGTGATGCATCTGTCTTAGCTTCTTCTGGATCAGATTAAAGATGCTGTGTAAGGATCAAAAAGACAATTAAAATCTTGTTATCAGAAGTGGCAGCATGGTTAACACATGTTGGAAGGGTTATTAGAGTGGAGCTTCTGTAGGCTAAAGCTGAGTGCCACTGTTCTCCTCACCCCCCACGCCCTTTGTCTTTTTGGTGTTACAGGCTGCTAGAGTTTGGTGAAGTGACGTTAACTAAAGCTGTCTGCCCTGAGTGTGTCTCTTTCCGCCCTGATAGGTGTTTTAATCTTCTTGCACGTTTGTTTTTCCCCCTTCCTTTTTTTCTCGCTCTGAGTGTGGGTCAGTTTTGCTGTACTGGAGAAGTGGTATTTGCTGAAAATGTTAGATGTTCTGTTAACTTAGTTTCTGGGGCTTAGCCGAATTTCCAGCCTGTAGAAAGTCATACCTGATTTCAAAGATGTCACTATCCGAGTAAGACTCTTCTGTGTTTGCTGATGTATTTGTAGATGCCACTGGGATCAGAGTGATCTTTTACTGCAAGTAAAGTTTTCTAGTGGTTAATTCAGATTTCTGTTTGTAGCACGGCGCATGTGTGAATGCCATGGACTTGTGGCAGTTCACCCCACTGCACGAGGCTGCGTCGAAGAACCGTGTGGAGGTGTGCTCACTTCTCCTCAGCCACGGAGCAGACCCTACCTTGGTCAACTGTCATGGGAAGAGTGCTGTGGATATGGCTCCAACCCCAGAGCTAAAAGAGAGACTGACCTGTAAGTACACCCTCACCTACCCTCACTTTTTTTCCCAGGTCTGCTAAGGCCAGAATGCCCCAATCCAACATTCTCCAACAAACATCAACAAACCCAGACGCTGGTCTGGCCTGTTAGTGATTTGTTAAAACAATCTAGAATGTTCTACCGCGTTCATACAGTTGTAATATGTCTTCCCCCTTTTTGCATATACCATTTCATTTGGTATATAAGTTTTTACTCAGGAACAGTATAAAGCCAGCTGTCAATATTATAATCTTGATGTTTTGGAGAGTGTTGGGTAAGTGTACCATGGCCTTCAGGTTGATGCTCACTATTCTATTGCTGGAGCAGTGGCTCCTAAATATGTAGGGCACAGAGTACCCCTGTCTTGTACACATTGGTGTTGTCGCTGTTCAACACACACAAACTGACTAGAGGAATGACAGCGCAAACACTGGGTTCCCTGCCAAAACACACCTGATTCAACCTATCAGTTACTTACCAGGTTTGATACAGTGCTATGCTAAGAGAACACATATTGTGTTTGTTTGTTTATTTGTTTATTGTAGTTATTTATTCTTCAGCACTGAGGAAAAAATTAGAATTCTCAACAACTAAACATACAAATATACACACAAATATATCAAAATTCAAAACCAAGTTTAAAAAATTATTATGAAAAGATATAGGGACTATGGTACTCCTAACAACCATGAAAGACTGTCGTTATAGGTAAAGAGTACTTATAACTTACGTCTTTAAGAGATCAAAGAAAATCAAATCTGAATCAGATCTGAAAAATTCTTCAGGTGTTTCTGTCCATCCTTTCACTGTGAGAAGACCTAGGGGTTGTGTACTGAAAGGATGTATAGCTGTCAAGAAGTCGTTTCTGACAAAAGGAAACAGACAAAAAATGTGCAAATCTAAAAAGCCGCTGGTGTCTTCACAACAATGGACAGACCTGAACATGTTGAATGTGTTTGGGATTACTTGGATCGTGAAAAGCAGAAAATGCAACCAGCTACTGAGACTGAACTTTGGAGGTATAGAAAAATATCACTGCAGATTTCTTTGAAAAACTACTTCCAAAAAAAAAAGTCTTCCTAAAAGAATGGAAGCTGTAATAAAGGCAAAACGTGGATTAAGCACTCAGAGAATTAATATGTTTTCAGTGTCTGTGTACTTGTCTGTTAAATATGTGTTTCTTAAATATGTAAATATCTTAATTTCTTAAAAATAAAAGACTGGTTTATGACTTTTGCACAGTACTGTAGGTGTGTTAAAGCAGGGAAATCAGCACATTTTGCTGGGCTGTAAGCCTCCAGGACCAGAGCTAGGCACCCATGGGCTACACATTATACACAATAATGTGAACGGAAAGCTTTTAAGACGGTGCAAGCCTTGGAGAAAAAACTTAACTTTCATTTTTACTAACTTTCCTCTTACCTGCCCAAACAACAGCACTAAGTAAACAATCCCAGACATTCTAGCAAAGGTTCCCCACTGAGATGCTGAAACAGTGGTGTCTGAGCCCATGTAGACGTCACTGATGTTCTCACATTTACACGTTGAAGGGAGTCAAATAGAACACTTACGCCTTCTCTGTCTCCTTGCCCCAGTGGCGTCAGCGTCTATAAACCACATCTCACTCTCCCATGTGGCTAGTCTAAGCGGGTAGTGCGAAGCATGGCCCTGATTAAATCTGCCGTATTCTTCCTGGTGTTTCACTGAGACAGGGAGGATGCTTTAAACGCACAGCATTTCTCAGCTTGCATTATTCAGCCCTGGCAGAGAGAGTGAGAGGTTGGCCTCCAGAGGAGATGTAAAGGGTTGACAGCAGCCTTCTGTGTTCATATTGCTGTTGGAAGCTTCCATCTGGCTTTTTCTCAAAGTGGGAGGGAAGTGGTACAGTGAAGTTTTACCTTGATGCTGATGCTTGTATGGGAAATGAGAGTATATGTGGGTGAGTTAATTGCTGTTTAGCCAAGAATGAATGAAGAAAGAAAATCTTAACACTTCCTCTCCTGTGACATAAGTTAAGTGCAGTCTTTTGAGCTTTCATAAGGCAAAAAAACTTACCTTGAAACTTACCTTGGTTACTGAAACCATTTTTAAGAACAAAGCCTGGAACCAAGTTTACAGGGCCAGAGGCCAGCATGGTTTTGCCATTTGCCTGCTCAAATATACCTGGTTCAGTCGATCACTTCACTACCAGGTAGTGCAAATCTTGGAGAGAAATCTCAAAGAGAAATGTGCTGGCCACTAATTTGTGCCCAAAATTAGAAATTTGTGGGCAGATTAATAGATACATGTTTAATATATTTACAGTGAAGTCATGTTGCTTTTTGATTTATTGAAAGGGAAAAAATGAAAAAAGCAGCATCTTCATCATGTATCTCTCACCAATCTCTCTAGACTATGTTTGTCTACTCTTCTTCCAGATGAGTTCAAGGGCCATTCCTTGCTCCAGGCTGCACGTGAGGCTGATATGGCCAAAGTGAAGAAGACCTTGGCTCTGGAGATCATCAACTTTAAGCACCCGCAGACCCACGAGACAGCATTGGTGAGCTCATCAGTCACTCTCTCTGTTTACTGGCTGCCTGTTATTTAACAGCAACACCAAGATCAATGTGAGCATCATGAACTTCAGTGCAAACTTGATGATACCAGAAATTCTTTTGTTGCAGCATTGTGCAGTTGCCTCGCCACACCCCAAGAGAAAGCAGGTGACAGAGTTGCTGCTGCGTAAAGGAGCCAATGTTAATGAGAAGAATAAAGAGTAAGTACATATCAGCTCTGATCTAAGATGTTGTATGTACTTTTTACAGTTAGTTAAAATATTGTGGATAAAGTAGGTTTTGTAATACTCTTTGTGGCTGTGTCTTAGTTTACTGTCTGCCTGTATGTTGTCAGTTCATGCACAAATCCACATCAACTTAGTGGTTTTTAATTTGGGTACCATTGTCTTTTGCTGTCTTTCTCTATCTGCCTTCCTGTATCTCTTTCTCTCTCTTCATCTAGTTTCATGACACCTCTGCATGTGGCAGCTGAGAGGGCTCATAACGACATTCTGGAGGTGCTGCAGAAACACGGGGCCAAGGTACACATCTGCTGTGGAGTCAGCAGGCATCACATTGTGGTCTGTCTGGCCTGGCCGTGCTGTAACAGAGAGCTAAAACATCAGCAACGCAATCACTCACACATCTCCACTCCCACCTGCCTAACATCCCACTCAGCGCTTAGATCACTGGGTCTTACTTCTGAAGCCATTTTAGCAGCTTCAGAGACCAGTGGAGTTGGGACGATACTTTATCACAGTTTGTGCCTTTTGATGTGATATATAGCCGTGAATAATGAAAAGGTCTTTCATGCAGTGCTCCAATGCACCAAAATGTTTGTGGAGGTTTATCCTTGAATTCTGTTCCACATAACCTCTATACAGTACCAGTGAAGACTGACTATGTTATGATTGTAGGGTTTGTTTTATTGTGTAGAAAAGATACTGTTTTAGTTTTTCATCTAAATTCAGTCCTTAATATTCATTTCAGTTTCCGGGTTTGCCAGTGGATGTTTTTTAGTTTTAGTATATTGTGATAACCTTGGAATGCAGTAGCCTGAAAAGGCCTCCTTGTTTACTTTTCTGTCAGTGTGATAGATTACTGTTGAGTAGGAGTGAAAGTGATCGTTTCTGAGCTCAATACAGATCTGATTAGGAAACGATTTGAGGAGAGGACAAAGATAGCTAGCCTTTTGGCTTTCAAACCAGACTTTTTTTTTTCTTTTTCTTTTTTTTTTTTTATTTCCCTTGTTGCCTGTTGCTGTCAGTGATCAAAATGGATGCAGTCATGGCTAAACCTGGATGTGAAATATCACCTCTCAACAAACGTGTGAAAAGCAAGTGAAGGTAGGGCTGGATTGAGGGCTTGGATGTGGCAAGACAAACGTTTGAGTGGTGTAAAAGATCAATAGAACAAGAGCTTGCTTTTTGCGTCATCTGCCTCAAGAAATTGAAATGGAATAACAGAAAGGTCTTTCGGGGTCATGCAAGTGAAGCACATCAGAGCTAAAACTTCTCATCTCTCCCAGAGGGGTTTACTTAAAGTTTTTTGAGCAATATTTTGTCTTTACAGCTCATGTGGAACTGAGAGAAATCTATGTGGCGCACCAGTTAGCTATGTGTGTGCATGTTTTAAGGGTTCTCCTGCACACAGAGATGAGAACTTAAGCTCAGAATGCAGAATTATTCGCCCTGCTCACAAAAACCCTCATTTTCTTTTTCTGTCATTGATTCTTGGGCCTGCCTTCCCTGGCTTTAGTTGCCTGGTAGATGGTCTAGGTGGAGTTCTGTTTGTGATTTGTAAAAGAAAACAGAAGTGTGCAAGAAAATGAGCCAGGCTTTCTGCCGATGCTCATAATGCATTTGTCCGTTTACCAATGAACTTCAACAGGCGCACACATTACATGAGTAGCTCTTCAACACATTTATTGCCTACTTTGAATAAGATGCTTGCAGCTTGTTTGCCATCATAAAACATCTGGGTGTATTTGACATGCTCTGTTGAACACAATAGCTTTGGAGTTAAACTGAAAAAAATCAATTGTTTACTAGAAGTAGCATCTAATGTTAAGTATTTGTTACTGTACAACATGCTGCCTTTAAATTAAGGTAATGTTTCTCAAAGAAAATATGTGCCAGCAAACTATAGGGCTAAAGTGTCTTGGCTCTGGGTCACTGCTGGCTTGTCTCTATGGGACTGGAAGCAATCTAAGAAGTAAATCATTCATATCTGTGTCTGAGCAGCAGCGGTGGTTAAGAGACTGCCAGATCAATGAAGCTCTTTCAGTGGGCCCAATCAGATAAGCATGGACTGATTGAATAGGCATTCAGCTGCTGCCATGGACCTCGGAGCATCCACGCTGCTTAGCTTCCCTTTTAGACTCTGTAAGTGGCTGTGCCAGTAAATAAGCTCCAAAAAATTCCTCTTCTTTTTTCCTTCTAATGAGAAAGGCTTATCTAATGAGCCCTTTTCTTTAACTTTTTTGTCCCACTTTAACTTTGTATTTTCCTAAACTCCATCCTAGGAAGGCATGCTCATTACAGCGTTTTTTATTCCACTCTCTGTTTTGCTCATATTTAAATTCTGACCAAAGAACACTGGAACTTACCTAACCTAGTGATAGATTGCCTTTCGTTTCACCTTCTCCATCTGGTGCCATGACCCCACCCCTTCTGCTGGTCTGCAGTGACCTGAGAGCCTTTTGCCTTGAGTGACAGTAATGATGTGGGTGATGATGAGTGGCCAGAATGAACAGAGGGGCGTGTTTGTGGAGGAGAGTGTGTGTTTACTGCAGGAGAGGCTGCTGGTAAACAGATGGCATGCTAGCGTTGCGCTAATAAGCAGGCCAGGGAGCGTGCAGAAGAGGCCCTCCAAAGTAAACACATCTTTGGCTCGGGCAGTTTAGAGTGCGATTCAGTGGAGGGTTAGTTGGGGCTGCTGGTGGGAGCTAGTTATGCGCCACAGAGACAGGCTGAGCTCCGGCCGTTTGATGTGGAGGAGCATCAGCATGCAGCAGCCTGGCTGTGACTGTGTTTACAGTACTAGCTCAGAATCAGTAATTAATCTCACACACAACCTGACAAAAGTTCTGACAAAAATGCTAGTATCTCTTGCTCTTCTGCTTCTGCTCAGCACTGATAGTCTTTGAAGAAGCTCTGGAGTTGCCTGAGGGTGCGTCTGATTAATTCATGTCTATGTTCATTTCAAAACGGGCCAGCTTTGCTCACAGTTCAATCTTCTTCTTTACTCTATGCCCCACTACCAATGCACCTCTCATTTCAGAGGGAATGAAGAGAATAGGAACGCTTACTCATCTCCGTCTGCTTGTGTGTGTGTGTCGTGTACAGATGAATGCAGTGGACACTCTAGGGCAGACAGCATTGCACAGGGCAGCCCTCGCTGGCCATCTCCAGACATGTCGACTGCTGCTGAGTTACGGAGCAGATCCCGCCATCATCTCTCTGCAGGGGTTCACCGCCGCACAGATGGGCAACGAGGCTGTCCAGCAGATCCTCAACGGTAAGCAGTTACTCTGGAATTACATTGCTTGTGACTGTGCCTTTTGGACACCTATTCATACATTAGACCAAAAGTTAAGAGGCAGCAGAGGTGGAAACAAGTCATTGAGTTGCAAGTGTCAAATTAGTCTCTAGTCTTGACATTTAAGTCCTGAGACTAGTCCCAAGTAAAGTCCAGAGTCACTACAGGCAATCTTTAAGTTATGTCCTTAGTCCTAAATAAGTCAGTAGGCATTCTTTGGCAAGCGTAATGCCATTTTAACATTCAGCATTCAGCACCAAAAATGATAAGCATGTTAAAATAAAAAATAGTAATAATAATGAATTAACATTTGAGTTTTTCTACATTTTTAAATAAATTAAAATAACCATCACAGACACAATCATAGACACCACAAGTGCATCTACATATAAAATGTAAACAGTTTTCAAAGTAACATCTTTCCGTGTTTCTTCCACTTTGGGTCTTGAGTCTTTTCTAATCGAAAGGTTCAAGTCTAAGTCAGAGTTATTAGTGTTCATGTCAAAATTGAGTCATGTGACTAGAGTTCACACCACTAACTTTGTAAACATAATCATGAAAATGTTATTTTTTTCAAGAAATAATGAATAGTAATAGACTTACTAACATGGAACAAAAAGGTTTGGCTAAATGTCTGCAACTGTAGTGTAGATCAGGGCCCGTATTTACAAAGCATCTCTGATTAAGAGTGTTGATCTAGGATCTGTTCCTGTCAGTAAAGTCAAAGTGAATAACAGAAGAACCTGAATCCGTGTTAAATTAGGATTAAATAATTAAAAACTGGTCAACATGAGGAACTGCTTTTAACAAACAGTGAAAACGTTTCCCATGTTATATGTTAGAGAGGTTAAATCCACTGCAAGCCATTAAAATGTTTTGGGGAAAATTTCCTTGTACAAATCAGATACTCAGTAAAGTGCTTGTTGTTGGCAAATCATTGAAACTTCTGTACTTGTCCTTCTATTCTTTGGTGTGTGTATATGTTTTAAATTGAATGATTGTTTCCCTTTTTAGAAAACATTCCAGTGAGAAACTCTGATGTGGACTACAGACTTTTAGAGGCAGCTAAAGCAGGAGACCTGGACACTGTGAAGGTGAGCTTAATGCTCTGGCCGCAGCCTTTGGCGTCAGATGAGCTTGGAAAGATTTCTGGGGAGGGGTGGGGGCACAGTTGTAAGAGTAATACTATTTTGTTTTGCTCTAAAACGCTTTGTAATTACTTTTGTGGTTTCTCAGCAGTAAGAGTGAAATGTTGCTCTAGGTTAAATGGAAAAATATTTCCACAGTTTGGATATCAAATTAATTTCTGTAATAGCTCTTGGACAAAGAAATTGAATGGCCACACTAATTTAACCCAACTGAAGAAGTTGCTCAAGGACGGAGCTTGCAGAACCTTGCAGAGTGTAGCTGTTTGCCATTGTGCCCTTATAGCAGATAAGTCCTGTGTAGGATGAGCTCAGTGTCAGCTTTGACTTGAGTGTGTGAACTTGAGATAGAAATGCTGACCCAGCTTGTGTGCGCACAGACACAAAAAGGGTGTCCTGTTACATAAGCCTAATAAGAGGGATATATACATAGCAGTCCTGTAGTCACTGATGTAGACAGATACCGATTATCAGAACTATTTGTTGAGTAATTATGCTAAATAACCAATTAAGGGGTTGTTGTGGAAACAAATAGGCATTTCTACACTTGCTGACCACAGTCTGGTCTGGCAATCCAACAAAGCAGATTAAATATTGATACACAGTAGGCTAAAGTCATCTTGCAAATCTGGCTTGATTTATTCTGTGCCTGAGCTGTTTTTTCCTCTCCACTGACACCTCCTTTACCCTGCTTCTCCTCTGCAGCAACTGTGCTCTCCTCAGAATGTGAACTGCAGGGACCTGGAAGGTCGTCACTCAACACCACTACACTTTGCAGCAGGTTATAACCGCGTGGCTGTGGTTGAGTATTTGCTGCATCATGGGGCTGACGTCCACGCAAAAGACAAAGGGTGAGTGCATGTTCTTCTTATGATTGTCACAGAGATACACACCAAATATTTCTCTTCTGATGCAGATTCTGATATCTGAATAAGAATTTAAAATAGTTTCCTGAACTCAGCAGGACCCAACTGCTAATTTCGAGTTCAGACATCATTTTCCGAATATGCGTCGGTCTTGGTTTAGGTTCACATTTTACGTTAGGCTTCTTGCAGCCTGATTCCCTTTTTTAATAGATTTTATGTTGCAAATCCCCCTGCTTTTTAGGTTTTCTCTGTACTTTATTCTTTCTCTGCAATTTCACTACCTTAAAACAGTTTTTAATGTGGCATGTGGAGTCACGTACTTGTGAGTTTATTACCGAGATCCATGATGCCCCACGCTCATGAAAAAAAAAAAGAATGAGCAGAAAATGAAACGGCATGTCATGGAAAGTTTATTCAGACTAAAAGTTTTTGGTATTGTATGAAAGCTTTGCTTGAAGAATAAATTTGTTAAGGAGCATTTCAAACGTAATTTTGGACAGCTGCTATTATTATTATTCGATAAATTTTTGATAAAGTCAGTATTGTCCTGTTACCGATCCAGTACATCTAATCAGTGCATTACTAATCATCTTCAGGAGCTGCACTCTGTCTGACCCAGTCCTGGACAGTCAAAGGACTGCAGATTTTAACACTGTACCTCGTTTAACACACCAGATTCAATTCTTCAGCCTAAGGAAGGCCTTAGAGGGATTCTGACACCCCTATATTGAAATATAATATTGAAGGACAAACTGGAGTGGTTCTAGTCTAAATGTCTGTTTGTTTTCCCTGTTCCTCACAGAGGACTGGTGCCACTGCACAATGCTTGCTCTTACGGTCACTATGAGGTGGCTGAGCTGCTGGTCAGACACGGCGCATCAGTCAACGTGGCTGACTTGTGGAAGTTCACCCCATTGCACGAGGCTGCAGCCAAGGGCAAATACGAGATCTGCAAACTGCTTCTGAAGGTACAGTCTTACTCTGCTGCTGGCTCAGCACACAGCTGAATCTCCTCTCAAACTTGCTAATTCAAATGAAATCTCTTTTTGGATCAGAATAACGTTTGACAGCAGATTTTACTTTTCTGGAAAGTTTTTCAGTGCAAAGGCAGAAGCTTTTGCACTGCTTTTATCACCTTTTATCACCTCAGTGTAGCCCAATGCAGTATGACAGTAGTAAGGAAAGCACATGAGACATTTTTGCAGAATCTTTTGTGACTGGTATTAATTAAAATGAGATCAGATTGCGCTGTCACATCATAAATTGCATATTAATGAATGTTGGTCCCATATCTTAGAAGGGCAATTGTATGATGATTTAGGGGATCTCTTGCCTACTGGAATATACTAAAGGCTCCGTGAAGGAGAGTTTTGTGATCAGCTGCGGCAGACAGCGGTTGTCGTTTGTAGATTAAGACAATGGCTGCTTGTGTGTTTCAGCATGGGGCTGACCCCACTAAGAAGAACCGTGACGGGAACACGCCACTGGACATGGTGAAGGAAGGAGACACAGACATCCAGGACCTGCTTAGAGGGGATGCAGCTCTGCTTGATGCGGCTAAGAAAGGCTGCCTTGCCCGAGTGCAAAAACTCTGCAGCCCTGAGAACATCAACTGCAGAGACACACAGGGACGCAACTCCACCCCTCTACATCTGGCAGGTAACAGAGCTCATCTATCCACCCCCCCCCTCTCTCTTTCTCTCTCTCTCTCTGTTTCTCTCTGTCTCTATCTCTGCTTGTCTATCTATCTAACTGTCTGTTCTTATGCAGGCAGCTATTGCACAGGCAGCTGTTGCACAACCCCCCCTTCAATTCCTGTCTCATAATCCCACAGCTGTCACAATGAACATGGCACAGCAAACACTAATCTCACTGTTAACCAAAAAATGAGCAGCAGCCTGCAAATCATGTTGTTCCGGTCTGCAAAAACTCATTCTGTTAAAGTCTCAAAGAGCTGTGTGGCGGTATAGGAAATGTCATTTCACCCTTGAGGTCTGGTTAAATAAAACAGGGAGACAGGGGGAACATGTCAAATTAAATCTTGACTTTGATCCTGAATTCAGCTCTAAGCAGGCCCACCTTTTATCCAGGGTCTGTATGGTTTTAATGAAAAATATTTATTTTTTTACACTTCAGATGAGGCATTATGTCTCTGTATTCACAAACACATAGGCTGTGCTAGTGCCGCTCTGTGGCCTTAGGCTTAGGCAGTCATAGCAGGAACGACCAGTGCTGTGCTTATTTATGGACCTCTTTTATCGGGTTGTCATATTAACCAGTGTTTCTTTAATCTACATGCAGATGTAAAGTGCTTAAGTGTTTTTTTTACTGCATTTACATCTTGTTTTTTTTTGACAGTAGTTCAGTGTTTGACCACTATACAGTTCTCCTTTTTTATAATGCCATCCACAGCTCTCTTTAGCAGTTTTGGATATTTTTGGGGCATTTGTTTTTTTTTCGAAATTAGCAGACTGTCATATTAGCTCATTTGTCGATTTTTTTAAATTGAATTTAAAAACAACTGTTGACTGTTTCTTAATGTGGAATAAAAGAGTGATTGAGCAGTTTGAGCAAAATTGAGCATGGAGTGCTCCAATTAAAATATTTAGTTTTAAAACTTAGATTTTTAAAGAAAAAAATATAATATATTAGTATTGGCCACTACTCAATGTTTTTGTTTTGGAACTGTATTGGAAAATAAAGTTATTGTTACATCTCAACTGTAGTATCAATGTGAGTGTGTGCATTCTAGGCTGCCTGTACGGCTGTTCCAGTTCAGAGCTCTATCTCTGCCCTGACCAGCACATGCAGACAGTGCAGCAGCAGGTGGGCCATGGCCCTGCCCATCAGGCAGAGTGTACCATATGTCTACATCCACCCACCCTTACATAAACATTTACTTTCACTTGGAAGGTCTAGAACCTGTGTACATACAACATGCCATTGCCCTGTTTGAGACATTGGGCCAGAATCTTGTCACAAGTAGCCTGCTCAGCTTCATGTCTCATTGATATTGATGTTAGTTCTTTACGTGCAATATTTAAGAAATACAAAAGGCAGCTTCCATGAATGCAGAATCATTATTTATATATTTGGTGTCTGGTCCTCCACAGTACTATGGCTGTTAAAGCCTTTTGTGGCAGTGGCAGCTGTTGTTCAGCTATTGTTCTTGTTTTTGATTTCCTCACTCAGCATTTGTGGAGGATGGATTAACAGAGATAAACAGTCGCTATAGCAAAGGCACCAGGCTGAAACTGGAAAATGAAACAAAGGAGTTTGCAGCATTGCAAGCTTGCCAAACCAGACGGATACATTTTAGTCTGTAGTCATGTTAAAGCTTTTTGCTGCTGCCTTTGCCTGTCAAAGAAAAGTGTTGATGGAAAAAAGAGAAAAAAAAAAGAAGTCTGCTCTCTAATAAGACTATAGAATCCTGAGTGGAATCGTGAGTGACATGGGAAGCGGATGGGACGAGCAGAGATGAATGTTGAAATGAGAGAAGGGAGAAAAGACAGAAGCCATTTGGTTAGCAGAGTGTCTGTGTGTTTGTGTATGTGAGAGTGAGCATGGCTGTTTGAAGCTCCGAGATCCGGGGCTATGCATTAGCAGCAAGCTGAGGCCTGTGATAATGGTGTTAATTAGTGAGGGTCTTGCAGGCAGTCTGTTGTGAGGGTCTAAGGCATATAGAACAAACTGAGAGAAACCCAAATTTGCTTTCAGTAGTGCTTTTAGTAATAGCTCTCAGTACCTTGTGTGTTTTGATTGTGGGATTGCATGATGATTATTATGATAATGGTAATTATAATAATAAACTTTCATTTTATGGCACCTTTCAGACCTCAGAGTGCTTTACAGGGGACAAATAATACAAAATACCGGTAGAGGATATGTGGTAACACCTTATTGAAGGGCAACATCTGTAAGGTTACATACCTACATAAACCCTCCATGACAACTGAAATGTCTATATAAGTTTGTCTGTTGTCATAAAAGACTTGTGTACAGTAGCAGCCTTTATTTTTGTCATTTCCACTCGTAACTGCTATTGAGTATAAGTGATTCATTTTTCAGCATCAAGAAAAAACAGGAAGCATATATTTGATAGAAAATTACACAGAAACCTGAACAACTATGTATAATAGTAGTAAAAGTTAATACTTAAAAGTATTAAGTGTATCCAGCCTTTTATTAGAGCATCCATTCTTTTTGGGAGACATGCCCTCAGTTCTCTTTCACACCGCCGAAGTTCGGTCTTAGAAGTCAGTTGCGTTTGCTTCTTCTCAGAATCCAAGAAATTCCACTTTCAGTGACTTTTCAGTGATTTGAAGTCTGGACTCTGGGTTGGCCATTTGTTGTGCGATTGTTGAGCAGATCCTTATGTGGTTTGCAAATGTTTTTCTCAGAAATGGCTTCTTGATGGCTGCACATTCTTTCAGACCCATAGGTTTGAGTTCTCTTTTCACTGTGGAAGGATGGACAAAAACACCTGTGGATTTTTTCAGCTCTGGCAGTTTTGGTGGTCTTTCAGGTCTTGCACAGTTGAACGAAGTCCAAATTTCCCTATACCTTTGAAGTGTACCTTTCTCCATACTTTTCAAGTATACCCTTCTTTATTCCTTTCAAGTATTTTCTCTGTACCTTTCAGTCTCTATATCTATATCTCAGTCCTTATGAGTCTCTGTATCTTATATCTGATCTCCTCAGAAATATCTCCTGAAAAATAAATGAGAGAATGAGAACTTTTAATGGCTGTTCACTGCCAGTTAAATAAATGAGTGGTAGTCTCTGCCTTTTGCACACATTATAGGTATTATATCGCCTAATGAATGATGCTGTTCAGTAAAGTGCTACCGAATATTCATTCAAGAGTACATTGATAAAGATTGATTAATAAGAAAAAAATAAAGTATATGAGTACATGGCTTAAAAAGTACCACAAAAATAAAGTGTTATGTTTTATTTTACAGCTGGTTATAATAATCTGGAGGTAGCAGAGTATCTTCTGGAGCATGGGGCAGACGTGAATGCGCAGGACAAGGGCGGCCTCATTCCCCTTCACAACGCAGCTTCATACGGGGTAAGTGCATGGGCATTGGTGCATCCCAGGGAGCTACTGGGAAACATTTCATTTCACAGACCATACAAATCAAACAAGACTGCTTGTGTACACGTCTGTTAAACAGGAACTCCCAAAGATAGCAACACACAGACGCTAACTGAGAAACAGATGTCAACTGAATAATCCATGCGTGCTTCAAAAACAGACACACAAGCCTTCTCCTTCACACAGCTGGACCCTGCTGAGTTCTAGCGCAGACCCCAGCTACCATTCATGCTGCTAGCTGCTGAGTGTTTCACTGAAAGTTAGAGACTGAAGCATGCACATGTATGTGTGTAAGATGGTGTCATTGCTACCATTCTGAGGTCCTGCCAAGAGAATCCCAACTCATGCAACTTTAATGGAACAGTGTGGCTCATGATTCTTTCAGCAGGTTTTGGCTCTCTTTCCATGGGAATGCAGCCTGAACAAGCCAGAGTCTATGATACTCACTAGCTAGCTATGATCCAAGAGACCCCGTCGAAGAGAAGAGTAAAAAACCGAGCAGAAGATACCCTAATACCCTATTGATCATTAAGATTGAAAGCTAATCAAACTAAGCAGATTCACACATTTTGATTGTTGATTTGTAATTTTTTGTAATTGAGTGATGAATTGTAATTGAGTAATCGTGACAATCCTAGACTACAGATGCCGTTGAAGAGCCATGCTGTGAAGGAATTTTTTTTCTTTCTTTTTTTTTTTACATAAGGAATGAAAGGCGGTTCTTCTGTTGCATCGCTCAACCCTTTATTGTGGAGAGTGTGGAGTGTGGAGGAATGTAGGAATGACTGCCTCAGCCTGTGCTGGTTAATGCCATTGTTGGGTGTTTATCCCACTTGTCTTGGTGAGGATATGCCTGGAGCTGTGATCAGGCTGGATTGGGCAGCAGCTTGGTGGTTACATAAGCAGAGCTGGAGTGAGCCACTCCTGGGTCCGTGCCCAAGCTCCTGTGGACACTCACTGCTGTCCAGCAAGCCCAGCCAGAGCTGAAGCCTCTTCCTGCCACCTAACGATTGGTGCAGAAAGCCTAGGGGGCTGGGCAGGCAGGACGCCCAAGAGCCCCTGATTGGCTGTAAAAAGCTTAGAGAAGGACTGGCGGATGGCTGGCCCTGGTTGACCTTGTCCCTGCCTCCCACTGTTCCCACGCAGGCTGTTTGTATTGAGACTGCGAGTGCTCAACAAGCACAGCCAGCTGATTGCAGATTCACACTACTGCTGCTTCTGCTGTTGACCAAGAGTCAGGCCAGGACAACCTTGCCAAACAGCAGTGTGTACAGAGCCCACAGTTTAGATAGGGAGATGTACCACTGGGCCACAGATTTATAGTTGTTTTTTTTCACATGGTTGTATTGAACTGAGAAATATTCTTATTTACAACTGACAAAATATAGGGCAGCACAAAAAGGCGAACAGTCGGATATCAATGAGTGACAAGTAAGACAGCACAAATCTTGATGGGCAATAATTTACATGTTGTGAAATAATTTACGTGTTGTGAAAGAGAACTGATTAAGTAGTCCTGATTTCATTTTAAACAGTTTGCCAAATAGTGCATACATATGTTTTGCTCTGTTTTTATGTCATTGTCCAAAGATAAAATAGTAGATTGTTACAGGGACTTAATAAGCCTTTAAACTATGGTAGAGCATATTCTACTATTTTCCGTACGTATTAAATGTCCTGATTATTTGAATTGTAAAGTTACACACAAGTTTAATGTGTTAGCGGTTTCCACCGTTCCCAGTATACTGCTTAATTCCTGATTGCTTCCACTGTACTAAAGGAAGACACCTTGCTTTTTTATTGCATAATTATCAACAAATATTGCATTATCAACTTGCATACATTCATTAGACTACTTAGCAAAATGACAATACTGAGAACAAATACTAGCAAGAGTTACATGGGTGATATTTCACAATCCAAGTCGTTTTAGTAAGAAAGTATGGTGGCATATAATTGTCTCCACTCCTACTTTAATTTCACGCTGTATGGTCACTTTATTTCTGTATGCAGCTTTGGCAAAGCAGTTTTACCTAAGCAGGTTTTCAGTTTCCTTCCCTGATAGTATTTATGTATGGCCAGTACATATGAACAGCAGGTTGTAATGACATTCTAACACAACTGCTTGTTTCCCCCTCAGCATGTGGACATAGCAGCACTGCTGATTAAGTACAACACCTGCGTGAATGCAACGGATAAGTGGGCGTTCACTCCTCTGCACGAGGCAGCACAGAAAGGCCGCACCCAGCTGTGTGCGCTGCTGCTGGCCCACGGAGCCGATCCCACCATGAAGAACCAAGAGGGCCAGACACCACTTGACCTCGCTACGGTAATACACTCACACACGCATATGCTCTTGCACTCTCTTGCGCACTCTCTTGCAGGCCTGTGTCCAAAATGCCGCAATACTTGTATATACCTATACATATACCTGTGTGATGTATGTGAGCAGGAAAGTGTTTCAAAGTGGACTTGTATTTCTAAGGAATCGTGTGTTTTCTGTGCCATGGATTAAAAAAATCTGTAGGGTGGATTATAAAAGCTACGTTCAAGCAAGTACATATAACATTTAATCCATAGATACATTGGGGACATTTTGTCTCTTTAAAAAAACTGTGTATTTAAGACTGTGTCCCCTTCAAATGCATTTGTCGTAACCTTTACTAATGAGGCACCAGTGGAACACAGCAATCACTATTGCAGGTGTTAGTGTCATAGGTGTTCCAAACTCACCCAAACCTCAGATGAACTGACCTTTACTTCTTAGGCTTCGGTTGTAATATCCATGCTGCATAGCAAAGTAAACTAGTGTCTGTTTTAGCCCTTTATTGCCACAGAATACAGAAAATACCATAATCACTGTCATTCATGCAAAACATGATGTAAGTGTAAGATAAGATTTAAACTTGTAAAATCTTTACTTTTTCACTTGTGGTCATGGATAATGTAGCAAACAAATAATAGAACAAGAACACACTTTAATGGGTGCATACTGCTTTTGTCCCTTTTTTCTTGTCTGTCCAGTCTCTCTTTTCTCTTTTCTTTCTTCTCTTTTCTTTCTTTTTGTCTTTCTTTCTCTTTATCTGAAAGGGGTGATGAGGTTGCTCAGATTTAGGTAATGTAGTTGGTAGTCTATATGAATCCACTGCTCAGGCATCTCCATCACTTCATAGGAGCTTATAGTCATCAGTTAGCGCCAGGCAAACTTGAAAAAAATGTCAAGTAAAGTAATCCCCAGCAGACTTGCTTATGTGGTTACTAATACTGTATAACATGCTGTGACTTAAAAATAGATAAGTACAAAAACCTTCAAGCTCCGGTGTGAAACTAAAGTGGCAGACTTCGGACATCTGACATGTTTTGGGCATACATTTGGGGGAAAATTGTGTAAATTTTTATTTCTGACAGAACTGTTCCTTTATGTGTATAATTGAGAATTTTAGTTGACTAGAAGTGTTTATGAATATAATTACAATACATTGGACTTCTACATTTCCAGCAAAGTTGTAGAGACAAAACTAGCTCAGTCTCCTTTTTTGTGTAGGCTGACGATATCAGAGCGCTGCTGATTGACGCCATGCCTCCCGATGCCCTGCCTAGCTGCTTTAAGCCCCAGGCCACTGTGGTCAGTGCTGCAGTCATCTCCCCTGCATCTACACCCTCCTGCCTGTCAGCCGCCAGCAGCATCGATAACCTGGCCGGGCCTCTGTCTGAGCTGGCTGCGACTGGTGCCTCAGGGCCTGCCAATGGGGCCACTGCGGCTGAGAGGAAAGAAGGAGAGAGTGAGTATCTGAAACGTCTGATTCCCAATGAGTTTGCATGCCTAGATTTAGAAAAATTGCTTCATTATCTATGGATTATGTGTTAAAGAGCAAATACTATAGAAGTTTTTTACATTTTTTGAATTGTTTGAAAATTTAAAGTGCCATTTGCTCACCAGTCCATATATGGAAATTCATTTGCAAAAAATCTCATTGTTTTTGTGATGCTTCTGTTAAACTTGATTCAACTTGGACTGCTTATCAAACGCACCAAAACACAGGACAACCAATCAGAATAGAGATCATTTACATACATGAGTCTTAAAAGCAGTGTAACAGGTATTTAATTAAGAGATAAACTCACACAAGCATCATAAGTGTGTAATCTGTAGCTTAATTACAGGATAAACTCACACAAACATTAAGTGTGTAAATTGTAGAAAATGGCTTTAACAGTGGTGGGATATTTGTGATTTTATTCTAAATCAGCATTTTTTTTTTTTAGTTACTATCCTGGATATGAACATCAGCCAGTTCCTGAAGAGTCTGGGGCTTGAGCATCTGCGAGATATTTTTGAGCGGGAACAGGTGAAAACACTATATATAAAGTTGATTCTGTACTTCATTCTATACTGCTGGCATCAGTTGCAATGCAAAAATGCAGCTGACTGTCATTTTCTGCAGAAAGATCTGAGCCGTCTCTTCAAAGCTATGCAAATCTAATAATATAACTTGCCTTGCGATCATCATCTTTTCAGTATTCCCACGCTCACCCTCGGTCTATCATCTCCATCCAGCTCCATTCATAGCCAGCCACTGTAATGTTGCATGCATCTCATATTCTCGCTACAGTGAAGCTCTATAACACCTCTGAGTGCTTTAAACTTTGGCTGAGAGAGAGAGAGAGGGTGCGCTGGGGTCAGTAGGCTGACCCTCTGTGCTAGGGTGCATTTTGCTGGATGCAGAGTTGTCCATCTGTACTCTGATCCTTTTCTCTGATCCTCTGATCCTTCATCTCTGGGAGGACTAGATGGTGCCGTGTTTGTCACGCTGGGCCATGCTGGCCACTCATTTGCACATAGATGAACAGAAAAGGTCCCTGCGGTGACCCATCAGAGAGCACTGTATTTAGAAAGGAGCTAGAAGCTGTCCTGATTGCGTGGTTGGCTTTCATGGGCGCACTCTCTGCTCACACACTTTTTCATCTCTTTCTCTTACACTTTCCTGCTTTTTCTCTTTTGCTTTGTGCTCCCTCTCACTCAGAAGATGGGCAAAGTAGTTTTAGTCACAGAGAATGTACTCTCTCTTTTTCACTGTCTCTCTCTCCTTCTCTCTCCTCTTTCTTTTTTCTTTCTTTTCTTTCCTTCTTTCTCTCCGTCTTGCTCCACCCCCTCCCTCGTTTGTCATCTCTTTCTCTGTCACTGAGGGGTGATTAACAAGTTACTTGGAGAATTATAGGTAACGCAGTCATAGTTCAGGAAGAACTCATTGCTGAGAATCTGTGGTCACTCCTCGGCATCTTCCTCACTCCATACACTGCCCTGATCTGATCAGTGGCTTGCTGTGTGTGTTCAGCAGGGCTCCTCTCTGGTTGTACCACTGTGCCTCATTTCCTTGTTACTGCTGCTGGCAGCACCGCACTCAGTACATTTGTCTCCCCTTGCCTTCATTAGGCTAACAGCTGCATCTCTCTACATCCCTTTGAACTTCTTCCCAGCCTTTTGCCAAGAGACAGACAGCTACGGAATTGTCCTCCGCGGCTCTGAGCGGGGCAGCATCTCAGATGTCTGTAGCCATCATGTCCTCAACCGGTGTCTCAGCGGGGCCTGCATGCCTGTTGATTGAAGAGTACAGTGTTTGCTGAGAGAGGCAGAGGGGCAGTGAGAGGTAGAGAGAGGACAGCAGCTCCTGGGCTAATAGCCTGTGGCAGGCCTATCATGGCTGTGATGTATTGCCAATAAGTGGGCCATTGAAATTGGGAGTGTGCGAGGGAAAGATGATAGTGGCTGACAGAGGAGGACGCTGAGTGAATAGTAAACCTGCAGGGTGACGTTTCTGCCCCCCCCGCTGCTGCCGTATCTGTCACCAGCTCAGCATCTCTATCCCTGGAGACGCCTACAGGCTCTCAGCTGCTTCTCTTTCTGACTGCTGCATCTATTACCATTAAATCATCATCTGTGTGTATGTGGGAGGAATTTTCATATAGACGCGGCCATGATTAAAGAGTGCCTTCTGAGTCATGCGTTCTAATCCCTGTCCAAACCTCCTGCAATTTACTAAGTTTATCTTCTTAGTAGGAGGGATATTCTGTATGTGAACAGGCTGCGGGAATGGTCTTCGGATTGGATTTCTGCATTTTTTGTGCACAGCCGTGTCCAAATCGCCTCGGAACAGACTGACCCTTTGCCCATTTCTTCACTTCCTCACACTTCCTGCTCTCCTGTTGGTCATATCCTGCTTGCCTCACTGTTATTGGTCTGATTGGTTTCGCTGTCTTGTGCAGATCACCTTGGATGTTCTGGCTGACATGGGCCACGAGGAGCTGAAGGAAATCGGCATCAATGCATACGGCCACCGCCACAAGCTTATCAAAGGCATCGAGAGACTGCTGGGCGGTCAGCAAGGTCAGTGTCAGACAATTATGCCTTATTCAGACATCACTTTAGTATCTAAGTATCTAAGAAATAATTAGCGCAGTATTTTTTTCAACAAATCAGAATTTATGATACATCGTCAGACCTCTGAAGTCATGTGTCATTCTGTAGTCTGTGTCATGCCCAAATAATGAACTCTTATTACTCTATGGGACAAAAAATTAAGTGTTCATTTCTCTGTTATGGCACAGTGTAAACCAACCTGATATATCAACTTTGCGAGCAAGCTAACCCTCCTGTGCATTGAAATGATGTGCATTAAAGTAATTCTAATACTGTTCTTCAACACTATTACACACAAGCACTAGCTACTCAAACTACAGGCTGCTATTAAAAGCAACTTAACCACCACATTTAAAGAAGAATACTGGTTTGTGTGGAGTATTTTGATCAGGCTTCCAATCTTATGATGTAAAATCAATGCACAGCAGTTTTAGTTTAGCTTGCATGAAACAACATTCATGTTTTGACTCTATAATGAGCTTGTAATTCTCAAGGAACCAGTGACGCTCAGGGTGCAAGTGTACCTGGTTTGGGAAACTGTAGTTTATTATAGGGTGTGATTGCAGTGATTCTTGAAAAAGACATTCATTTTTTTGCACAGAGAAACACTGCTTTAGACATGAAGGTCCTAATGTGGGAATGACACAGACTGCAAAATTATCACATGATTTCAGAAAATCAGTTGATTTCTAATAACTACATGAGCTTGGCGGACGTGGTAATGGGACCAAAAAAAAAATTAAATCTGCCACCAGAGGAGTCATCAGTTTCAGCGTGTAGAACCAGAGCTCTGAGTTTTCTTTCACAGAATATAATATGCACAAGTCTTCCTTTCTTGTTAGAAACACTATTTTTGTTGTTGTTTTTGGGGGTTTTTTTGTTTTTGTTTGCATGAGCTCAGTGAGACCACCATACAAATCAGTAAGCGCTTATTGATTTGTTTAGTCAGAGTAATGATAAAGCATGACTAATTGTGAATTATACTTTTATTTATTAGTTTTCTTGTTCAAAATAGATGTGGCACATTTTTGGCTTTGTTAGATCGCATTCTTTTCATATAAAAGAAATGCAACAACAGCATTTGGCTGTCATGGTATTAAGGGACAGGAGTTGATAAAATGGCAGAAATAGCCACATTTCATGTCTGCCTTAAAACGTAAATGTCCTGTGACAATATATTAACAATCTTTGATCAATAACAGTTGAAGAGAATAAGCCTTAATATGTATGTATTATAATTTAGCATTGTCTGCGTTTTCTGTCGTTTCTCTTTCTCAGAATGTGTGCTTATCACCTGTCAAGTATCAGTGTTAAATTACTTGTCAGTCATCTTCAATATCTGATAACCTTGCCCAGTGTAATAACAAAGCAGATTGGCACTCACAGCTGTGTATGTGTATTTGTCTCCTATATGGCAGGTGCCAACCCATACCTGACATTCCATTGTGCGAGTCAGGGCACAGTCCTGATCGACCTGGCCCCTGATGATAAGGAATTTCAGTCTGTGGAGGAGGAGGTGAGTGGAGAGCAGATCTGTGCTACTAAACACTGATAAAGCTCCAAGCACATTCAACTGTTGCTGTACAGTATTTTTTCTCATTTTGAAAGCTTTGTTTTGTGTGCATGTTTCAGCTGCAGAGCACGATCAGAGAGCACAGGGATGGAGGCAATGCGGGTGGAGTCTTCAGCAGGTACAACATCCTGAAGGTAAGCACCAAACAAGCTCATGGAAAATAAACATGTACTTATTCAGCTGTGTTTTTTCTGAATGTTAGCTGAAATTTCATCTGGTATACTGGATTACAGGCATTGCTGTTGAGGGTGTGTAGTTTTGTGTATGAGAGTCTGTGTTTATGTATGCAGATCCAGAAGGTGGTAAACAAGAAGCTGAGGGAGAGGTATTCACACAGGCAGAAGGAGATCGCAGACGAGAACCATAATCATCATAACGAGAGAATGTTATTCCACGGTACTGTCCTACACCCTTAACAAGCAATTTACAAGCAATTTTAAGCAATTTACACTGTTTTTATTTTTCTTTTTGGACTCCACTCACTTATTAACTGTTAGACATCAGGAGTTATTACTGTTGTTTTGGTGTAGTATTGAAAAGTAATTACATAATCAATTATTTGTTTAGTTACTTAATTTTCATGTTTCAGTATCAAACAGTGACAAAAACAAAGCAAAAAAGTGATCATCTTTCTATTCACAGAATAAGACTCTATACACTTAACGTCTGTCGTCAAATTAAATGATTTGAGGGGCCCAAATGAGGGAAAACTGAATTTCCCTCACTTTTATTTTAAGTTTGGTGTAATCTGTAAACATTTTTACATTTTTAAAACATACCGTTCACTCTGTAGTCCAAACAGTTCATGTATGGAAACTAAGCTGAAAAAACAGTTTTAAATTAGTTGTTTTTGTGATATGAAAATCTGTGCATTTACATATATCCTCCCAATCAGCCTGCTGCAATTTAACTCAGGCCCATTCATGTCACAACTATAAGGCATGTTACAGCCTGCACTGCTTTCTGAGTGAGGCACAACACAGTGCAGCCAATCAGAATAGGCGCGCTTTACATATGTCAGTATTAAAGGTACAGTAACAAAAACAATGTGTTTAAGTCTAATGGATAAAGAGATGTTGGAAAAAGCTTTGTGAAAATGAATTATAACGTATAATGTTTTGGGCACATAAATCCATACAAATGTCATAAAAGGAACTTGCAGAAAAAAAGAAAAATCAAATTCAGATCATAATTAAATCTCCACTGCTTGCCAACACAAGTGTAATATTTATTTATTATATATATATTTCAAAAACTGACAGTTTCTCTGCTTGTTTCAGTGAGCTGTGAAAATCAAATATATGAATATGAATGAGCTATGAATATCAAGAAATGTCAAATTACAGAATGATTGTGACTCATGATAGCGGTGACTTTTAAAGGTTAACCTACTAAATTGAAGTGCAGGCAAGATAAAAATCTCTCCTCTGGGCACCAGACTTTTATTAAGCTCTTCTATTTTCTCCCTCTATATAGGGTCTCCCTTCATTAACGCTATAATCCACAAAGGCTTTGACGAGAGACATGCATATATAGGAGGCATGTTTGGAGCAGGGATCTACTTTGCAGAGAACTCCTCCAAGAGCAACCAGTATGTTTACGGCATCGGTGGCGGCACCGGCTGCCCCACGCACAAGGACCGCTCCTGCTACATCTGCCACAGGTACTACAGTCCCACTGTTCACAGATCTGCACTCATGCAGTGGCTCAAAACAACAGTTCATTTAAATGACCAGACGGTGGTGCTGTGGCTCACGGAATGTGCTGGCTGCTTTTGTGTTTTGCAGGCAAATGCTGTTCTGTCGAGTGACCCTAGGCAAATCCTTCCTACAGTTCAGTGCCATGAAAATGGCCCACGCTCCTCCTGGGCACCACTCGGTCATCGGCCGCCCCAGTGTCAATGGGCTGGCCTATGCAGAATACGTCATCTACAGAGGGGAACAGGTGAGAGAGAGAGAATACACATACTTAGCAGTTTACCTAAGTTAACACTACAGGCCAAAGGTTTAGAAACAGAACTGTTTTGGCAATAATAATCATTATTTTCAACAGATACCAGATCGTGATATTTTTATTATCATAGAACAAAAGTACTAAATGTCAACAACAGTAGTGTACAAAAGACTAATTGTTGACCCCATTAACCCTTGGAGCTTGTCTACATTGCATTAACATGTGTTTCATGTCTGGATATTGTCTGAATTTACTTTGGCCCAATTCCATTTACACTTTTCACAAAAATTCGCCCCACTGTGGCCAGATGAGATCCGATTTTACTTTGCCATGTGAAAGGATACCAACACAGTCGTTCCTCTGTTTATATTCTATTTGCTTTTTTCTCCATTACAATATGAAATCAACAAGCTGAAGCATTTTCATCCACCAAGTGCACGAAGGCGCTTAGTTCCAGAAAAAAATTCCAGCCCTGTGGCTCCACCTTGCATTTCCTTGTTTATCCTCTCACCTGCTAGTCAGCATTCGACAGATGCGTTTCTGCTTACCTAGTTGTTTGCAGATGTAGAAAATGCATTCTTTTTGCACTTGGGTTGAATGTAGTCAAGACCATCTCCGTCTCAGAATGTATAATCTGACCACAGTGCATCCTGGGTTTGTTTACACCTGGCTTTTCATGCAAAGTGAAATCTGAATGTGATCTCATCACTAAAAGTGCACATTGATGCAAGATGTAAATAGTCTCAAGGCATATTATTCAGTTATAAAGCTTGATACTTATTCAATTACTGCGGTTTACTGTAACTGCATGTACATGAAGCATTAGTGGCATATTCATAAACATTACACTAACACTCCATTTTAATTATGTAATCATTTGCAACTTCCATTAATTACATAAATTGATGAGTAGTGAGCATAATGTACATAATTAATGAGTAATTACATAATGCAGTTAACTGAAAATGCACTCAGTGATGCTTATTTTATACTTCATCATATGTTCATTAAAAATTAAAATCTGTTCAGCGACCAAACAGCCTACAACTGCAATACCTACTCCTACATGCAGTATTTCTGTAAAATTCATGAACTTTACAGTATTATTACAGTAAAATGGCATCACCACACATTCAGGATAATAATCTTAAGAATTTTTGTGAATATTTGAGGATACTTAAGTACAGGTAGATGTAATGTAAGAAATGTGAAAGGTCATTATTTCGTACCGTTTTTGTTTCACGCTTGAATGCTGTTTGACTGTTATTAAAGGATGAATAATGACTGCAGTGTGGATATATTTTGAATATCATGTGCTTATAATCATATTCGTTCCCTGAAAAAATTGTATACTGGAAAGTATTAATGAACGTGTCATGAAGCATGAACTAAGCAGTTGAGTGTATTTTTGATTAATTATTTTATGTTCATTACTCATCAATGAATGTATTTAATGGATGTTTCCAAATGATTATTTAATTGTAATGGAGTGTTACTTTACTGTTCAAGAATATGCTGTGACTGCTTCATGTGCAAAGCGCTACCGGATATTCTGTAGCTACTATGAAACTAATATATACTCTGTAGTTATGAGTGTAATGAACTGAAGTTTGGGCCCAAATATGGGCTCTCATAGATTGAGAGGTTAATTTATTTTGCTCCTGATAATTTTATCTTGTAGTTTTATTGCAACCCCAATCATATCTACTTAATGCTCACATTCAGATGCTCCTGAAGGCTTGATTAATTTAATCAGGTGTGTTAAATTGTGAGTTATAATGTTAAATTAGTTGTAAATAGTTAGACACAGATCTGTTTTAAATGACCATCCAGGACTTTTCCTTGTAATATGTTCTGTCTTCATCTCTGCAAACCAAAAACATATTTCTAACAAAATGACTTGATGTTAAAATGTTTTTTAAACTTAAAAAAAATCACTGCATGCTTTCATCCTTTTGGCCTGTAGTCATGATCAGCCACAGCTGATCAATATGAGAGGGTACTACTTGACATTTATGGTTTACTGTCTCATCTGGAGCAGAATAGAGGATGTTGTTCTTATATTTACCTAGGATTGGTTTGTTCATTGGTTGTTTTCTTGCATGGTTCTGTCCAGGCCTACCCAGAGTACCTCATCACATACCAGATAGTGAAGCCGGAGAGCACAGCGCAGCCCCCAGCAGCAGCCGAGCAGAAGTCTTAGTGTACCCCCCTCCACCTCATGCCCCCGTCCCCACCAGCCTCACCTCTGTCTGCTGCGGCCTCCCGCACACTGCTCAGACTGTTACTCAAACACTTCACACACATTACGGCCTCCAGCACCTCCTCCAGCTTCGCTCTCCCCTTCCTGCCTCACTACGTCCACTTGCCTTTCCCATAAACACCTCATTCCTGCACTGCCTGCCTTGTTTTGCTGTCAGTTTTTTTTTTCTCTTATGTCCCCCCCTCCCCACACTGTTTACCTGGAAGAGTTGCCTTGGACAACCACAGTCTAACCCTGCACGCCTCTGCTGGGAGATGGGTTAAGAGTGAAGTGCGGTCAGGGGTCAGGGCAGTGGCTGCGACGTTCAGGGCTAAAGGGGAAGAGAGAGGAGGTGGGGGAGGTAGTGAGCTAGCTTACAGTCTGCTCTGAATGATAATGTGTGAAAGAAAAGACAACAAGTGACCTCTTTGCCACCCCTTTACCCTTTAATACTATTTTAATACGGTCCCTGGACAAGCATTACAATTCACATAGCTTCTCTTTTTTTAACCTTTTTATCGTGATTTGTTGTTGGTTTTTTTGCATTATTTTAAAGTTAACTTACACTATGACATGGACCATGTCACCGTTACACTCTATCGGGACCTGCCGTTTATTTGACTTTGTTTTACTTCACTTAATGACGTTCCGTGAAGCCAGTCGGCTGCTTCTGTTGTGTTGTGTTTTAAACAAATTGTTATGAAAGCCTTAGAAAGGTTTCTGAGTGAGCACAGAAGGTGGACACGTGGAAACCCGTTCTACGAAAAAAGCCTTTAATAGCAAAATATTAACGTTCACTTGGGATTGTTTGACGTTGCACAGGAAGAAACTGGTCAGAATTTTCAACCTTCTTACTGTAGCTTAATCATAAATCACAACTTTTTAAGGACTTGCACTTTTAGACAGGATTTAAGTTATTCTAAATAATCTGAAGATGACATTGAATAAAAAGATGTCCTGTAATGTACTGGTTATATAATGGACGATGCCTTGGTGAAGCTCTCGGTGCTGTTTACTGATGAAGAGTGGGGTTCATTAGGACTGTAAATGAAGTGGAACTTACTTTGCTTTCATACCTTTCCTTTTTCCTTGGTGACTAATTCTGTGCGGCTTAATATCCTCAGTGTTTTGGATGACATTAATTAAAGGGCAGTTTTTTTGTTTTGTACTCATTCATTCCAGTGTAATCTCTTGTAGAGGTTCTCCTACTCTCAGACACAGTAACTTCTTTCCTCGTGTCAAACACTACTGACTTATCAACAGCATTGCTTGCACATTCACAGGTTATGTAAGTGGAGCGAAAATGCGTTTGGACTTTTATGTCTCCCTGGCAAGTTCTGTGGGGGCGTTTTATCACAAATTATATACCCTCTCTGGTTTGGTGCTCCACTGTTATGCGAGTTTGGCTTACTGGGGCTCATAATAGACAGAGGGCACAAATGTTCTTTCCACCTTTGGTTGTGAGCACGCTGTCCATCACTCGCTCTCTCAGCCTGGCCACTTCTCATGTTTCTCACCTAACAAATTATTTCCTCTCTTTTTTTTGGTGTACCTTAACCAGATCCAACAACGGGCCATTTACCACAAGTGATCTGCAGACTAATTGAACACTCCTCAATCATGTAAACCAGTCTTAATAAAGTACATATGTCATACGTTCTGTCTGCTTTGTTTTTTTTTCCACGCACCCTTTACACACAGTGGCCTTGTGGTCCTGTGAGTCACTTTCTCTGTTCTTTGGAAAAGGCCGTTCTGCTGAGCTGATCCGATTGCAGAGCAGGTGGGAGGCTTTGGCCAGCAGCAGGATGGATTTTGCAACTGACTTCCTGTGAGCTGAGTGGGCTAGATTGTTTGCAGATTAGAGTTGATTTTTATCAGGCTGATCACACTTGGGGGTGGGGGTGGGTATAATCAGTGTTTTTGTTGCAAATACTGTGGAGGATGGATGTGCTATCAACACTAACCACTCTCCTGTAGCACTTCACATACAGGAGAGCTTAGAGAGCGATTTGATCTACATCACCTTTAGCAATTACTAATGGGCTGAATGTGTGTAATGAATATACGGTACTGTGCAAAAGTCAGAAACCACCCTTCAATTGGTATTTCCAGCTGAAACGGCCATTAAGTATAAGTTATTCATTTGAGGTTCCAAAAATTATTCATATGTAGAGAAAATTGAAATCCCAACAATCATACAAGACCTGTTAGCCCACCAAAATGTTCACCATCAGATAAACAGAACTTGAAGCTTTCATGTATGAGAGATAGGAGAAAATCAAGCTCCATTATTGGTGTTTCTGTCCATCCTTCCACTGTCAGAAGACAACACAGTGGTTCTAAAAGGATGTGTAGCTGCCAAGAAGTCATTATTGAAGAAAAAAGGAACTAGACAAAAATGTTCAAATCAAAGAAGCTGCTAATGTTAGAACAATGGACTGACCACGCCAGATCTTAATATCATTGTATGTGTTTGGCATTACTTGGATAGTGAGAAGCAGAAAATGCACTTTGTAAGACTGAAGTTTTAGGTGAGGAAAAACATCCTTGCAATTTTTTTTTAAAAACTGAAAAGAATGGAAGCTGTAATAAAAGAAAAGAGTGAATACACTAAATACTGAAAGAGTTGTTGAAGCTTTTGTGTAATTCTCTGTAAAATGTTTTTTCCCCCTTTGATGCTGGAAAAGCAATAGCTTATTGGCTTATTTTGGTTTGTGACTTTCTTCAAAGCACTGTTAATATTTGCCCTATAGACTATATACTACTTTGAATTAGACATTTTAATTATCCATTGAATTACCCATAGGGTAAATGAACACGCATTGCGCGTCTGTTTTATTTTAAGTTGAAATTGCAAAAGAATTACACAAGGGGGTGCAGTTAGCTGGATTTTCCTTGATCAGCTCCCCTGTCTATGTTGTGCATCATGTCTTCTTAAAGGGGAAGGTAGCTCTTGTGCTAATAACCCATCAATCCAGTGAACTGTTTAAAATTGGCCTTCAAAATGTCAAGATCTCAAAGAAGCACACCAGACTTTCATTAAAGTACATTGTTATATTTAACAATGGAAATCAAGGAATAAATAAAATATACATATACAACAAAACAGGGTAAGGTTTAAAAATTGAACCCTTCAGAATGATATTGCCATGGGCAGTCAGACTAACATTTCAGTTGACAAGGTACAGTAAAAAGTATTGCATTCATCAGTGATTGGTGACAGACCATATCGTTTACATACACAAAGTAAAGCTCTAATGGGTGTAACAAACGCACAGTAATCAGCTAGGCAGCTGTCTCTACTCCAACCATGTGCAAAAGAAATCTCGACTTATAATACAATATTGCATCACTTAAAAGTGCTCTATAAAAGGTGCCCACATTCATAAGGAAAAGAGGGGGGAAAGCATTCTAACCCCATTTGAATGTTCAAATATACTTCATTCTTCAAGGCAAGCTGAAGAATTAAAATGCAGATTCTCTTACAGAGCTGTGTGGGAAAACTAAAGCAAACAAACTCTCAGGAAGGCCATGAAATGTGGGCATCTCAGTCTTCGCTATTTTCATATATTCTCCAGTGTAGTCGTACGTGTAGGTGGCTCAGTGTATCCGGCCCTTGGTGATGAGTGTTGCAGTAGCTAAACAGAATTATTTTTACATACAAAAGTAAGGTTACAGTGGTTAGACAAGTGACCTATCAAAATGTGTGCCCTCCACAAAACATAATCTGTACCATAATAATTTAAAAATGAGAACATTCCGTACTGGAGAACTCCACAGTCATTATCTGTAAGGCATACAGCAGAAATAATGGCTGGGTCTGCTACTGTACAAATGAGCAATCAAATCAGAAATCAGAAACCCTTAAAAAGCACGATCATACAATGTGATGGACGTTGAAAACACGACAGTGCTTTGGTGGCAACTGGGAAGAGGCAGGGAGGTTATTGCTCTATTTTTAGTGAGAGAAACAGAGTAGAACATGTCTGTATTGCAGATTGAAATGCTTTTTTGTCGCTTTGCAATAGTTGCCCGTCAGTCTGCCTTTGAATGGTATCTGATCCTACTTTTAAAGGCAGGACAATTGCCCAGAGGAACCCGCAGATGTCCTGTACCTTCTCTGTGCAAGGCACTGACCAAAAATAAATACCCTAAATGAAAGACTTACTGCATGAAGCCCCTGTCCTGGAGCTCCAGCAGGTCCGTCTCTGCTGAAGGAGCCTAGTCTTTCTACCAGTCCTCTTTCCGGTTGGGGTTGGGGGGGGGCAGGGGGTGATAAATGGAAAGACCGGAGAGTCCTGTCCCAGCTGAAGGGCTCCTGCTCTCCATCAGGAAGAGAGGAAAAAAGAAAAAAAGGAGAGGGAGGAGAGGAGACACGTCCTCATCCCCACTGCTCTCATCCAACCCAGCTTACCAAACACAGAAAGGCTTTGGAAGAACCCTCAGGTAAAATAACAAATGCACCACTCTCATTCATTCTTCTACCTTCTTTCTTCTGATGTTCCTTGTCCCAATCAAGTTCAGCATTGGTTGCCAGTGACTGAACTACCCCGCCCCATATCAACCACATGTAAGCAGCCTCGAAAGTTCTTATTCATTTGGGCAAAGAACCAAGTTCTATTCATTTGGGCAAAGAACCAAGTTCTATTCATTTGGGCAAAGAAATTCTCTTGTTGTCCTGACCCTCTGATTTCCATTCAGAGGGATGTCCATTGCCCCAATCACGAATCCTTCATGTTGCTGGTAAACAAGTCCTTGGCACAGCTCTCCTCATATAGTCTGGAGGTCTTGCTGGCCAGAATGTTTTATCAGCAGCTGGGTGAGGTGGTGATGGGACTCTGCAGGTACGAGAGGCTGCTGGGTTGTCCATGCGGCACCACAGACACAGGGAAGCTGAAGATGTAGGGAGAGTTCGGGGAGGAGGAAGACTTTGGCCCCAGTGTGGCCGAAGGACTGGCGGCCTCCACGGAGCATGAGGTGGCCAGCACCTGCGACTCGAACTGCAGTAGCTGACCCATGAAGCTGAAGTTGGGTGAGATGATGCTGCGCCGCTGCTTGACAAACTCGAAGGCCTCCTCCAGGCGCACGCGTTTTTTCTTCATCAGGTAGGCCAGGCAGATGGTGGCTGATCGAGAGATGCCCGCCTGACAGTGCACCAGCACACGACCGTTGGAGTCTTTCACAGAGTCTGGTGGAGGAGAAATACTCGATTAGAGATGAAGTACGAACATCGAATCACAACTAATAAGGGAGAAATGTTCCAAATGTTTCCATGTAAACTCATAACTCAATTTCTTTTTGTTTTTTATTTTTTTGAATGGACAATTATAAATTTTGAAAAGCAATTACTGCAAAGACATGAGGTTTTCTAACAACAAAGGGAGCAAGATGACAAAATATCACATCCATCACAAAAAAATCTCTCAATTTTGTTTATTTTTTCTGTTTTACATAGTTTAAAAACTTGCCCTTTTACATTGTGTGAACATGGCAAATGGACCATTCGAAATTCTGAAAAGTAAGCCTTTCAAGTTATCACTGCAAATGTTAAGTCAGAACGTCACAATTTCAAAAGGTTTTATTATGACAGCAACAAATCTACTGTATGTTTATAGCTTTACAATAATCAAAACAAGTCTGTGAAAAAGACGAAAGACAAAAAAAGCTAGCTTCTGCTAAAAAAATGCCAGAGTGCATAACTTTGTGCTAAACAGCCAGTTGATCTTACTTTTGATGCTGCATTTTATTTGATTGATGATATTTAATAAGGCCTCTGATTTTTCATTTTAAGAAATTAAAATGTCAGTTTGGCCCATTAATAATGAGGTTATTTATATTGCTAGTTTGGCTGATAGAACGTTGTGGTGCTAGTGTGTTTTTAATTGGCCAATTTGAATGTAAGGAATTTTAGAATAGGTTATAAAAATGTAAGATCCCTGATTGAAGTTACAGGAAATCGTGTATCCAAGACCATGGCCACTAATAATAACAATGAAATGCTAAATGTTAAATGATTCACCCAGAAGCACACTATTGGAGCTTTCAGCACCTCTCAGACCAAAAAAGACTGCCTGCGGCAACTTTCACACCTTCCACCCCACTGCAACATGTAAACATTGATGCCCTTCCACTACTAACGAGCTGCTAATTAAAGAGGAAGGGGAAATTGATGACAGTATAAAGGGAAAAGAGTATCTATACTCTTCCTGACAGACAAATATCAGTCAGCTCATAGATCAGCTGGCTATACTTCAGGTTTCATCTATGTGTGTATAGACAGGAAAGTGCAATGCATATTCTTCCACACGCGCACACACACACACACACACATACATACATCTGAAGGAACTGAGTACCCTCAAATGGTGGATGAGTCAGACTCTGGTCCCTTAGCTGCACACTCTGACGCATGCATACACACTCACATACCCCCCACCAACACACATTCACACACACACACACACACACCTAGGAAAGCTCTCAAATGCGGCAAGCCTACTTTGGGGTGCTGTTTTACTGCGGATGATGCGCTGCACTGGAGTAAAATCTCAAGGATCCCCCACCCACAGCCTTGGAAACCCCCGCCTGAGGAGGACCCACCCATGCACATATCACACGCTCATTCCAGCTGCCTTAGAGGTCAAGGTGTAGACCTATCCTTTTCAGCTCTGCCTAGGTCTACATGTTGCACCAGTCTCTAATAGATTACCTATTAGTGGTCTGCAAATTAATGCACACCCAGCAAACGCTCTGCCGGTGGAAATAGATGACAGATTAAAACAGTGGGTGTGAGAGCGACTAACATAAGGAGAGTTCTGTGATGCAAATGAGCCTGTTAATTACTGATGAACGCCGAGCCATTCACAATGAAAAGCAGCAACACA